GCTCTGTCTGAAATTAATATAACTACTCCTGCTTTCTTTTGATTAGTGTTAATATGGTATATTTTTCTCCACCATTTATATTTTTTATTATTTAAGTATAATTGTTATACAATGTTATATTAGTTTCAGATTTGACAATTCTATACATTATCTTATGCTCTCCACAATGAGTGTAGTTACCATCTGTCATCATACGATGCTATTGCAGATTGTTGACTATATTCCCTATGCTGTACTTTTCATCTCTCTGAATTATTTAGAAGTAGAACTTTGTACCTCTTAATCTCCTTCGCTTATTTCACCCATTCCCCCTAACCATCTCCCTTCTGGCAACCAACAGTTTGGTCTCTGTGTTTATGAGTCTTGTTTCTGGTTTGTTTGTTTTGCTTTTCAGATTCCACATATAAGTGAAATCATATGGTATTTGTCTTTATCTGACTTATTTCACTTAGCATAATATCTTTTAAGTCCATCCACGTCACAAATGGCGAGATCTCATTCCTTTTTATAGCTGTAATATTCCATTGTGTGTATATACATGTACACACACATTTATATACATAATATATGTAAATTATATATATATAATGTTTTACATATATTATGTATATATATATAACATTTCTTTATCCATTCATCTATTGATGGACACTTAGGCTGCTTCCATAACTTGGCTATTGTAAATAGTGCTACAATAAGTGTAGGGGTGCATATATCTTTTCAAATTAGTGTTTTCATTTTCTTTGGGTAAATACCCAGTAGTGGAATTACTGGGTCATATAGTAATTCAATTTTTAATTTTCTGAGGAACCTCCAAAGTGTTTTCCTAAGTCGTTGCACCAATTTATAGTCTCACCAACAGAGTAGGAGGTTCCCTCTACTTCACATCCTCACCAACACTTGTTATTTCTTGTCTTTTTGATTCTAGCCATTCCAACAAGTGTGAGGTAGTATCTCATTGTGGTTTTGATTTGCATTTCCATGATGATTAGTGATATTGAACACATTTTCATGAGTTTGTGGGCCATTTGTAAATCTTCTTTGGAAAAATGTCTATTCAGGTCCTCTGCCCATTTTTAATTGGATTATTCTTCTTGGGGGTGAGTTGAGTTGTATAAATTATATATTTTGGATATTAACTCCTTAACAGATTTATCATTTGCAAATATTTTCTCCCATTCAGTAATTTTCCTTTTTGTTGATCGTTTTCTTCAATGTGCAAAAGCTTTTTATTTTCATGTATTTCCAATAGTTTTTGCTTTTGCTTCCCTTGCCTGAGGAGACATATCCATAAATAAGTTGCTAAGGTCAGTGTCAAAGAGATTATTGGCTATATTTTCTTTTAGGAATTTTATGGTTTCAGGTCAACACATTTAGGTCTTTAATCTATTTTGAGTTGTGTGTGGTGTAAGAAAGTGTCCCTGTTTCATTCTTTTGCATGTAGCTGTCCAGTTTTATCAATACCATTTACTGAAGAGAATGTCTTTTTCTCATTGTATATTCTTGCATCCTTTGTCATTGATTAATTGACCATAAAAGTGTGGGTTTATTTCTGGTCTCTCTATTCTTTGTTTTCTGGCCTCTCTATTCTGTTCCATTGATCAATGGGTCTATTTTGTGCCAGTACCATATTTTTTTACTATAGCTTTCTAATATATCTTGAAGTTTGAGACTGTGATGTCCCTAGTTTTGTTCTTCTTTCACATTATAGCTTTGGTTATTCACTTTTTTTTGTGGTTCCATGTAAATTTCAGGATTATCTGTCCTATTTCTGTAAAAATTACTATTGTATAGGGATTGTATGGAATCTGCGGATTACTTTGGGTAGTATGGACATTTTAATATTAATTCTTCCAATCCATGAGCATGGTTATTTTTCCATTTGTTGCATCATCTTTAATTTCTTTCTTCAGTGTTTTATAGTTTTCAGAGTGCAGGTCTTTCACTTCCTTGGTTAAACTTATCCCTAGGTATTTTATTCTTTTTGGTACAATTGTAAATGGGATTGTTTTGTTAGATCTAATAAATAAACTTGGTAAAATTGCAGAATACAAAATTTATATATAGAAATCTTTTGCATTTCTATACACTAATAATGAACTAGCAGAAAGAAATTAAGAAAACACTCCATTTACTTTTTAATCTGTATATGTCTTTATATTTAAAGTGGGTTTCTTGTAGAAAACATATAGTTGTCATGTTTTTGATCCCCTCTTAAGTCTCTGTTAATCGGTACATTTAGACCAATGAATTTAAAATGATTATTGATATAGTTGGATTAATGTTTATCATCTGCATTACTGTTTTCTATTTGTTGCCATTGTTCCTCTGATTGTCTTCCACTCTTTTTCTGTGGTATATGGTTTTCATTGAGCATTTCATATGATTCCATTTTCTCTCCTTTCTTAGCACATGTTATACTTCTTTTTTTAAAAAAACTTTTTAAGTGATTGTTCTAGAGTTTGCAATATGTATTTACATCTAATCCAATTCCTCTTTCAAATTAACACTGTACCACTACACTGGTAGTGTGAGTATCTTATAATAACAAAATAATCCTAATTCCTTCCTCCCATACCTTATAGTATTGCTGTCATTAATTTCACTTACATATAAGCATACATAAGCATATATATATATAGAGAGAGAGAGAGAAAGAGAGAGTTGTATATATACATACACGCACATAAGCATACACAATTGAATACACTGAATTCATTATATTGAACAAACATCTGCTAGATGAATTAAGAATAAGAAAAATTAAAAACAAATTATTTTACCTGCACTTATTCCTTCTTTGATGCTCTTCCTAACTTTACATAGATCTGAGTTTCTGACCCATGCTATTTTCCTTCTTTCAAAGAACTTCTTTAATATTTCTTGCAAAGCAGGTCTACTGGCAACAAATTCCCTCGATTTTTGTTTGAGAAAGTCTTTTTTTCTCCTTCACTTTTGAAAGATAAATTTACATGGTATAAAACTCTAGATTGGTGTTTTTCCTCTTCTCTCAACACTTTAAATATTTTATTCCACTCTTTTCTTGCTTGCATGGCTTCTGAGAAGTTGTATGTAATTCTTAACTTTGTTCCTCTATAGGTAAGGTGTTTTGTTCCTCTGGCTTCTCTAGGACTTTATCTTTGATATTTTTTGCAATTTGAAAATGATATGCCAAGTTGTAGGGTGTTTTTTGTTTGTTTGTTTCTTTGTTTGGGTTTTTTAAAATATTTATCCTGCTTGATGTTCTCTCAGCTTCCCAGATCTATGTTTTGATGTCTGACATTAATTTGGAAAAGTTCTAAATCAAATTGTTTCAAATATTTCTTCTGTTCTTTTCTCTTCCTTTTCTGGCATTACCATTACTGGTATGTTACATTTTTCTGTGTAGTTGTCCCACATTTCCTGGATATTCTGTTCTGTTTTTAGTCTTTATTCTCTTTGATTTTTGGTTTTCAAGAATTCTATTGATATATCGCCTGGCTCACAGATTTTTTTTCCTCAGTTGGGTCCAGTCTACTAATAGGTCCATCAAAGGCATTCTTCATTTCTGTTACAGTATCTTTTATCTCTTGCATTTCTTTTTGGTTCTTTTTTAGGATTTTCATTTCTCTGCTGACAATGCCCATCTGTTCTTAACATGTTGTCTACCTTATCCATTAGGGCCCTTAGCATATTAATCACAGTTGTTTTAAATTCTCAATCTGATAATTCCAAAATCTCTGTCATGTCTTGTTCTGATTCTTGCTATGTCTCTTTGAATTGCTTGTATTGTCTTTTGGTGTGCCTTGTAAGGTGTGGGTTTTTGTTTTTAATAGCCAGATATGATGTACCAGGTAAAAGGAACTGCTGTAAATAGGCCTTTAGTAAGGTGGTGGTGAGGTGTGGGGAAAGGGAAAGCATTCTATAATCCTATGATTGGGTCAGTCTTTTAGTGAGCCTATGCCTCTGGACTATAAACTTCACAAGTGTTTCTCAGTTTTTTCCTCCCCCCTTGGGTGGGACAGGATGGCTAGAGTGTATTGGGGTTGGGTATTTCACTTCTCCCAGTCAGTTAGGGTCTGAAAATACCCCTAGCAGGTTAGGCTCTGGTTAACTAGTTTCCTCGGAGAATAGGCCTTGTTAAGAACAGAGTGTTCTAGCATATTTCAAAATGGTTCCTTTTCCTCTTCCCCTGCTGGAAGCCTGAGAGGATTTTTCTCTGGTATTTACTGTGGGAACCTGGCTGAGCTTCTGGAGGTAAATCTCACAATATTGTAAGGGCTCCCCTATGAGTGGGTCCCCCAAGGGGTTTTAACTCTCAGAGTTTTCAACACTGAACTTCTAGCAATTTGTCAATTACAATTCAGATTTCCCTACCCCAGCACTGGTTCCCACAGTGGCTTCTGCTAGTGAGTCTCGGCTCCAATAAGCTGCAAATCCCTTTATTTGCCTGTCTCCAATCTTGGGGGCAGTAGCTTGCCCTGTGTCCTTCCTTCTCTTATGGATCCAAGAAGAGTTGATTTTTCAGTCTGTTCAGCTTTTTACTTGTTTAAAATAGAGTGGCGACTTCCAAGCTCCTTACATGTGGAACTGGAAACCGAAAGTCCCTTGCCAGCAGAACTTTTCTGAAAGAATTGCTAATAGAAGTTCCTCAGACAGAAAGAAACTTGGAACATTAGAAATGAAAGAAGAGCAACAAAATGGTAAATACCTGGGTAAACAAAATATCCTCTCCTGTTGACTTCTTTAAAATATGTTTGATAACTGAAAGCAAAATTTATCACATTTTCTGATCAGTTTTTGATGAAAGTTTTCTCATTTTTCTGATGAAGTTTTTGATATATGTAGATATACTACAAAAAAGGTAACTACAATATAAAAGGTAAAGGGACCTATAGGATGCTAATATTCTTTTCCACTTAAAATAGCAAAATATTGATTCTGAATAGACTGTGAAAAGTTGAGTATGTATATTATAAGCTATAGAACAAACATTAAAAATACTATATAAAGAGGTGTTCTCTCCCATCCAGCGGCTGCGGCGCCCGCCCTGACCCAGACCCTCCGCCCCTAGATTCGACTGGCAGCGCAGCCCCCCAACCTCGCACTGGTGTCGGATGCGAGAGCTTGTGCTTAAGTAAGAAATCAGTCATTAGAAACATTCAAGCAAAGGTTGGACAACTAATTTTCCGGAACAAAAGGAAACTCATGCATCAGAAAAGGTGACTAATAAACATACCAATAGAATATGGCTGCACAAATACCAGAATCTGATCAGATAAAACAGTTTAAGGAATTTCTTGGAACCTACAATAAACTTACAGAAACCTGCTTTTTGGATTGCGTTAAAGACTTCACAACAAGAGAAGTAAAACCTGAAGAGACCACCTGTTCCGAACATTGCTTACAGAAATATTTAAAAATGACACAAAGAATATCCATGAGATTTCAGGAATATCATATTCAGCAGAATGAAGCCCTGGCAGCCAAAGCAGGACTTCTTGGCCAACCACGATAGAGAAGTCCTAATGGATGGACTTTTGATGAAAGATTGCCAGCAGCTATTGTGATGGAAATGAGGATTCATCTGATAGAATCCCCTGAAAGCAGTAGCCACCATATTAAACTGTCCTAACTTTGGCAAATGGAAACAACTGGAGAAACAAAATTGCTATTTACCGAGAATAATCAAAATAGGAGGTCTTATTGTTGAATGAAAATAATAAGATGGAACATTTGTTGAGGCCTTAAGATTCAGCAGCTTGGTAATTTCATTAGAAAAATAAGCCACTGTTTCTTCAATTGTGACTGTTAATTTTAAAGCAAAATATGTGTTCAATCATGTATGAGATAGAACTTTTTATTACTAAAAGTAAAATAAATGGAAATATCACTGAAAAAAAAAATACTATATAAAGAGACAGTAAAAAACACAATATAAAAAATAAAATGGAATATTAAAACATGTTCAAATAATTGAAAAGGAGGCAGAAAAAGGGAAACAGAGAAATAAAAACACAGAGGAACATCCACAAAACAAATAATAAAATAGCCTAAATCCAAACATCAATAATTACATTAAATTTAAATGTAAAAGTAAGAAATTGTCAGAATGGATTAAAAAAGAACGAGACCCAACTATATGCTATCAACAGGAGACTCACTTCAAATAGAATGATATAGGTATATTAAAAGTAAAAAATAAATACTTTTATGCAAATATGTAAATACTAATAAAAGGAAAGTTGGAGTGACTAGTAAAAAATACAATAGACACTTTGGCAAAGTGGCACAATGCTGAATCAAAGCTACTTGTCACCAATAAATTATTTCCATTCTTTTCTCAGGAAAATTTTGCTTCATCTCACCCACAGACCTTCCAAGCCTCTAGATACTAAAAAAACTGTCAAGCTCTAGCTGGTTTGGAATTAGAATCTTGCAGATTGCTCTAATCTAATGGCTTCCTTTAGGAACACAAGACATAACACCTTTCTCCTTCACTTTCCCAGTTAGGCACAGGGATATTTTCCAGACAGATCTGTTTCCTTTAACCTGAATAGATCTTTTTGTTTTCCACTTTCATTTTACCTTCTCTGTAGTACAAAGTCTTGTACTTCAAAATTACAAGAAAACTAGGTGGCCAAATAACTAACATCACTTGCCTTGCATCTCATTTGTCAGCTAAGAGGGCTATGCACGGCCACAAGTAAGGAGATAGCACTCTGAAAGTTTCCTTTATAAGAATAGTTCTTTAGAAGGATAATTTTCTACCATTCCTATATTATATCACACATAAAAAGTGATAATAATATTTGTGACATTCTGGGACAAGTAGGAAGAGAGTGCCATGGCCAGCAACTGGCTCCGGGCACTGGGCTCCTCTAGGCTGCACCAGGCTGTCCAGAAGCCTGTAGGGAATGATACACTGGCACACCTATAACCCATTTGTGGAAGCTGCAATCAGAAGGATGGGCACTATTTTAGCATAAAATACAGGATCTTGCTATAGCAATCCCTGTGGATTTACCTTTTGAGTTTCCATAATCCTCAGCTTAATTGTACTTAATCTCTTTCACTTTTTAAATACTTCAAAAATTTTTAAATAAAAGAGAACATTAAATCATGTTACACAGTAGTTTCCTCACACATTAAAAAAAAATCAGTACAAAGCTCTGTATGCTAACTTCCCATGGAAACGATAGGCAGAGAAATGATAGAGATTTGGGACCTGGTTTCCTAAATTCTGGAATATTACAGATCCTTTCTCATTTTTGTTTTCCACTATATAATGGAGATAATAACACTTGTATGCTATGATTGTTGTGAATGTTAAGATACCTTCTGAAATGTGCTTAGCATAGTGCCTGGCACATAGTGGATACTCAATGAACACAGTTAGCTTCCTCTTCATTTTCATTCCCTAGAGTAATTTTTGCTAAAGAAATTGAGAGTAAAGAGATATGTCAGCTTTGAAGTCTCACAGAAGGCTTTATGGAGGGTATGTAAGGATCTTGGCCTTGAAGGGAAGCTGAGATTTGATGGACAGTGAAAAAGAAGAAAGGCCTCCCAGGTCCTGGTAATAAGATAGCATGAGGATAATCTTTGAAGTCTCAGGCAGCCAAAGGTAGGATTAATGAATAAAGAACACTTGCTAAGTAGAAGAGATATTGATTTGGAACCTAGCCTTAAGGAAACACAATGAAAAAGTCTTACTTGTATGGGTGTGAGAGTTGATTCAGGTTAGCCCATGACCACATGGTGAAGTAGTCAAAATTTTCCTTCAGTGCTTTTCCAAAATGACTTTGCTGTCTTTTCTTCCCTTTCAGCATCACTTCTCCCAGGGACTCCATTATACTACTTATGCTCAACTATCACCTACTTGGGAAGGAAGTAGGCTAAAAATATCTAATTCATACTAAAGAGGTTTTGATCTAATGAGTTAACCCTTCTACTTCATCAGCATTTTAAAAGAGAATCTTGGATTGCATTAATCAAGAGAAAAGCTCTCCTGTGATTGAATTTCCAGCACTTCTCCTGAGTAGGGAAGATATTTCTGATTATAGAGGCTACCCACTCAAATCATACCACAAAGATAACTTCCCACTCCATCTATGGGTGATAAGGACCCTAATTAGTAGACCTGGGTATGCACAGTTGAGACATAATCATGCCTTAATATCAACATTCTAAATGAGGCTCTAGAAGAATTTGTCTGAATCACCCCCATGCAAGTGTCGGGGTTGAATAGTCAGGAGAAACACTACAGGGATTCCTGGCTGAAGCAGCCCAGGGTACAAAGAAATGAAGGAGCAAGCAAGTGAGAGAAGCCAAGACCCAAAGTAATAGTATTAAATCCAAAGGGGCAGATGCCTGATTAACAAGCATTCTCCACGCTTTTGGAGTTAGGGGAGGTGGGGTTCAAAATAAGAACTGGTCAGGAATAGTTGGTGAGTCCAAGGGGGTTACAATGACTAGTCTATCCATAACATCCATGGCTCATGCTTCTTATTCAGTGACTGCCCACTGGATTAGTTTGAAAGCTTAAAGGCAGAGTGAGCATAAAGGATGCAGCAAAGGACTTGTGATGCTATGGGAAAATTTTAAATAAATATTAGAGAATAATTGGTAGCTATTAAAATACAGAAGCTATGAAGCTATTAGAATACAGAAGTTATGGCACATACATCCAGAGGAGATAGTAAAATCACAATTTAAAGACTCATTAGACACCCATTCATTTCTAAGACAGGATTTAAGAAAAATAATGAGATCTATCTTGCGGTAGTGCAGAGATATGAGCTAAATGACCCACGAGAGGTCTCTTCAAACCCAAGAGATTCTGTTTAAACGTTAGAATCCATCTGCTGTAATGGAAATTAAATCCAATAAGCATTCTCCTCGGAAAAACATTGCTTTATATGAGCAATGCTCTATTTGCTCTTCTATTTCTTTCTTTTCATCCCTTCCAAATTAAAAACTGGCTCAAACCTATCTCCAAAGTAATTTTCTTGATATTAACCCCTAAGAACAGGATTCATAGCCTAATATACCAAGAATGGCAAATAGACTTCATCTTGATAGAGGTTTCCTGAACTTTGTGTTGAGAAATATTTTGAAGCTGCATTCAGAGGGCTGTGTCTGATTAGCAATGCTGCCCTGCAGGAAGGAGGGATTAGGGGGTGCTTAGCAGGTGTTTGCTACTCCTGCAATATAACAACTCAAGGAGTATTTATCATTAAAAGCAATAAAAAGATAATCTAATATTTTAATATTCTGAAGCTATATATATGATCTCACAGGTATCAATGAGATTTGATGCATCATGTAATGGACTCCTTCCAAGTATATGGAAATAAGGGGCTAGTTATTGTTCAAAAGAAAAAGATCCAATAGAAGAGGAAAAGGCATAATACTGGTACACTAAGAATAGATAAACTTTTTACAAATCCACTAGCCTAAGGTTGGAACCCTAAGAAAAACATTTAGGTATGATTTAAAGAAGAGAGGAAGCAGGAACTGATATTTTTATGGCCATATACCACACAGCTTGGCCTAATGGAGGACACAGATAATATTCTCCTAATGTTGATCACAAAACTGATTTTGTAGGCATAGAGCTGAACTGCAATTGTCATCCATTTCCAGAGCCATCTTGTTAAGCACAAAGCTATACTGCCTAAATCTCAGCTGGAACTCTGACCCCCTGCAATGCTTAATAACTTTTATTTCTTTAGACAGCCAAGCCTACTCAGCCACCTAATGGCCTTCAGTGTCCAAAAGGTAAATCTTCCTGGTAAAATCACTTTGGTTTCCTGAAGAACTCTTCCAGGGGATTCAACCCAGAATTTCTCAATCCTGGACTCAACCCCCAGGTCCCCGCTGTACCATCTAAAGTTGTGGAGATTACATGTGGTTCTGGTGGTTATGGTAATGTGGAAGACTCCAGCCCAGCATAGGGCTTACTTTCCTCCATCCTCCTATCTGCTCTGTCTGAGTCAAAGGGGTGTCTGGGAGTTGGGGATGAGGTGGCAGGGGGAAATGAGGGGATATTGCTTGACATATTGTTGGAACTCAAAGATTTATCAAATGAATAGTTGAATGAATGAATGGAATCCGGGGGACCACCTTAAATAATGGGAGGAAAAGTGCTTTCTAGCCTTGGAAAAATATATATAGCAAGCCAGAAAAATAAAGCCAGGCCACTGTAGATAAGATTGGTGCTTTCCTATCCTACTATCACCAACCATCCTCCACCTAAGACAGGAAAACTGAGATAGCTTTGCACAGGAGGTTTATCTGTCATTGGGAGAACCTAAAGACAGAAAGGTTAACCTTCAGGTTAGCAGGGGGAAGTTTATGCAGACATGATGAAATTTGGCAGCACTTAATCTGGGAGTTTTCTAGCATGTACAGTATGAAATAAGAGGGTCATGTACAAGATCACTGAAGTGTACAGTGTGTTCTACCTTTGAACCTGGGCTTGGACAAATAGACTTTTTCTCTTGAACAATATACTGGTATGTTAGGAGATAACAATATCAAAAACTCCAGAGACTTTAACAACTTTATTTGAGGAAACAACTGTGCTTAGTCTTAGTGACTAGAGATAAATCTGAAATCATTTCTGAATAAGAAGTTGGTTTTGTTTTCAATTTAGTCTTTTCTGAATTGTTCGTTTTGGATTTTAAGCTATGCTGCTATTGTCATTTTTAAAGAGCTAGAGAGTTTGGTGGTATTTAGCCATCTAAGTAAATTAGTGCCTAAGGCTGTATGAAAC